TCTAATTATTACTGAAATCTGGCATGACAGACTTTGTCATATAGATGAAAAGTAATTCCAAAGTTACATAGAGATGTATACTTGGGATTAATTGATTTTGACAAGTACAAATTATGCATGTCTGGCACAATGACCAAATCTTCTTTTACTTGAAAAAAAGAAAGGTCAGCATAATTACTGGTCTAATGCATAGTGATGCATATGGACTCGTGTCAATTAATGTTAGGTAATGTTTCTCTTATTTCATCAATGATCATATACTTGATGAAAACTCAAACATGAAACTTTTGAAAAGTTCAAGGGATTCAAACTAAAAGTAGAGAAACAAATAGGTAAAGATACCCTCACATTAAGATTCGATCAAGTGAGAATATTTTAAAGATAAAATCTAGATTATCTAAGAGAGAATGAGATTCTCTTGCAGTGAACTCTTCCACATACACTGCAGCATAATGGTGTATCTAAAAGGAGGAATCGTTAACTATTAGATATAATGCGATTAATATCAAGCCATGCAAATCTCCCAAAATTGTTTTGAGATCATGCATTGATTGCAGTGTGCAACACACTAAACCATGTCCCATCTAAATTGTTTAACAGAACTCCATATGAGTTATGAAAAGGCAATAGTCCCAATTTATCTTATATGAAAGTTTGGGGCCATTACGCTTATTTGAAGCGCCTTAAATCGGATAAATTTGAGACTAAATCTTATAAATACATATTTGTGGGATATTCAAATGAGACATTTGAATATAAATTCTATTATTATGAAGAAAGTCTTCCTCTCACGATATATCGTCTTCTTAGAGAAAATGTTTACCCTAGGGAAGGATAGTGGGAGTAAAATAGAACTTGAAAGAGTTCAAGAGTCCACAGATATAGTCAACCAAGTAGATAAATTCGAGTTTGATCTCATATCTGATATGGGACATACACTTGATCAGGAAGTAAAGACTCCTGAGAACATGTCAGCTCCATGTGAATCTAGTAGGATCATTCGACCTTCAAGAAGGTGCGAATCCATGATTACTAATCAGATATTACTGATCGAGGATAATGAACCTGCTAGTTGCACCAAAATAAAGTCAAGTGTTGACTTAAAAGATGCAGTAAGAGGCCATGAAACTCGAGATGAACTCGACGTATGTGAACAAGGTTGGACCTTGGTCAAGTCTCTTGATGGAATAAAATCCATAAGTTTTTGTAAATAGTTTACAAGGAAAAGGTCGATATGGATGGAAATATCCATATATACAAAGCAAGGCTAGAAGTGAAGGTTAAGTGTTAGCCTTGGCGAAACCTTTATCCTGTAGCCTTATTGAAGTCCATTCGAGTTTTGCTTGCAACAGTTGCATATCGTGATTATAGGTTAAGAAAATTCTCTTGGAGCTGAAATCTTCGATTTGATGGAAAAGTCAAAGTTTTTGATTTTATCAAATTTGAAGATGAATTGTGTGTTTACAAGAAAATAGTGGGAGCATTGTCGTATTGCTAACATATTAGAAAACGACATCCCTATGTTTCAATCGTTAAAATAATGGTTGTTAAATGACTTATTCTTGAATAATATGGGGAGAAGCAACTTGATCTATAGAGATAGATCTAGAAGGTTGCTTAACTCGTTCCAATCTATATAAAATATTGAAAAGATTTTATATGGAGAAATTGGTTTACTCTTAAACCGTATGTTGGAAAGGTTCCGAACGTGAAGCAACCGTTGATTCAATAGTAGAAACCTAATACATGATTACTTCAGAAGTAGCAAGGAGTTGCAATCTAGATCATGATGTTCATAAATGAATTTGGAGTAGTTCCTGATATTGTTGATCACATGCCATTGTATTGTGATAACAATAGAGACATTGCGAAAGCAAAGGAACTAAGGTCTCATCAATGATCAAAACATGTATTAAGGCGGTATAATCTCATCAGAGAGATAATACATAGAAATGACGTAAAGTAAAGAAAAGAACAAATTTTCACATTTAACAATATTGCAGATCCACTGACAAAGAGTTGTCGTAGCATAAACACGATCGTCATGTAGACTTATGATATTGGATAAATAAGTGATTGGATCTAGTGCAAGTGGTAGTTTGTAAGTATTATGCCCTATGTCCAATCAACTTTGGACATAAATACTTTGGATATATAATTAATGCAAGTTAATGACAGATCTATTATTTAATTAATAGACAATTAAATAAATAATAGAGTTCGTAGATTCAAATTTCCGTAATTTGTTAATCACAAGGAGTTGTGATTGTGAGATACAAATTATGTCTGATTGAATCTTAAATCGTCCGTGGTCGTAAGTAATAACGAGAAACGGATATCGTTATTACGGATAGATCATCACGTGTAGCATTTCTTACTTGTGAAGTAAGTAGCTGATCTCACAAGCTAAAGTATGATGACACTTAAATGAACACGTGAATGTTTTGTTATAGAACAAAATATTGGAGACTCGTCGAAAGATTTCACATGGATAACTATCTGAGTGTCAGTGGTTAATCTCTAACGTTCGGTAGTGGAATTGATCCTTTAACTTGAGGTCGTCATGATACCTTATATGAGGACAGTCATACTTTGGCAGTGTTGGATGTTGCTCTATAAAGGGCCCCTAATACGACATCGTTCGGGTACGTCAAGAATCATATGAAGGTTGTGATTGACCAATAAAGGATTCGTCACTATTAGATAGTAGGAGATTATGATCTACGTTTCATTCAATTAAGTCGATGATGAAATCATTGGTCAAGGTGTACTCATAAGTCGAAAAGGAGTTTTCGATTTGTATTGACTTAATAGTGGAGTGAAAGATATGATTGATAATCGAGATTGACATACTTCCATATCTCGTAATTGATCGGATCATATTAACGAAGGGATTATAGTTTTACGGTAAACGAATAAGTTTGATTTTGTCATACTACGTGACATTTCCCGTCACATGTATTGCCCTGACACATTGCTAGATGTCAATTTGGGATGGCGAGTGTGAATTGACGATAAATTAAAAGGGTGTTTTAATTTATCAATTTTGATTAGATCAAAATAATATTTCACGTCGTTAGGTACCGTGATCGGGAACCTGATAAGTCACACACAAAAGAGAATTAAAAGATTGCAATTTGTTAATTAATTAGTTTAACAATCGTTGGATAAATTAATTAATTGAATTTGTTATTTATATTTCCGAATTAATTAATTGGATTAATTAATTCACGGATCGGGTTTAATTAAATGGATTAATTTAACATTGGACCGGACCGGGCCGAGCCCGTTAGGGTTTATATAAATACATGGCTAGGGTCCGAGGTCCATATAGTTTTTATTATTCTTGCTGGCATAAAAGAGAAAATCCTGGTAGTTGCAATCTTATTTGCTGTGTGGATCACCATTAGAGGCTGGACAATTGGACAGCTGTGGATGGCGAGTCAAGATTGCTGTAACGAAAATAAAAGCAAAAGGTTTGCATAATTTTTCAAAGGTACAATCTTTATCACGATTTTTCTAAACACAAAGGGATCCTTGGTGGGAATCGAAATAATTTTAATTTTCAGCTGTGCATATATAAGTAGATTCCCAACAGCAGGCTCTTCAATATATCCTACCCCAGTTCAAATGAAAGACTTCCGCCCCGCAACAAGTGTTCAGTTCTTCACTTGCCACGCAGTTTATGAGATAAATCGGATTCATTGGACTTGTTCCACCGGTTTTGCGCTGATTATCAACTAGAATGGAATGTGTCTGGTGATTGTCTTAATTGCCACAGAAAAGGAGGAAAATGTACAACTAACAGAAAGAATGAATTTCGATGCGATAAAGGTACCATCGGCCTTTCAACATGATCTTTTCAGTTTTCATTATGGATGTATATTATTGAATATTGAGATAAAAAAATTATTAAATTAAGAAACTTTTTATATGACAATTTTTATTTTGTCAATCTGGCTCTTTCCCAATATAGTTATTTGCCCTGTTTTTCTTTGTTTCAAATTGAACTCAACCTTATCCTTAATTTGTTTGTAATGTATACACCAAATTTGGTAAAAAAAATTTCTCATTTTGTGGAAAGTAATTATTCAATATTATAACTATTTGAAAGACTTAATCAAAAAATAAAATAAAATAAAATAAATAAAAATCAGTTCATAGGACACAACTATTATTTGGATCATGATAATTGAATGTCCCTTTACAAAATTCCATCACCATATTATGATAATTTCAAAAGATGTTTGATATACATCACATTCTATAGTGTGGACATAATTTATATATGTTTTCATAGTCATCAACTTATGGTTCACGAGCAATATCTTTATTTGACCAAGTCTTGTGACGCCAAAATAATTTGCAATATCTTTTTGTTTATGAATGTACGTACATATAAAATGTTGACAAGATCCATTATTTTTCAATCTATAAGTCATAGATATATTTTTGTAATGTACAATTAGTAAAAATACAAAACACTTTTTAAATAAATAAATTTTGGTTATTGATAAATTAATGTTATTCATTATATAAAAAATAAACTATTCAAATAATATTTTTCTTAGTACCCAGAGTATTACTTTATAGGGCTTTAGTATAGTGTGTCGCACTACAATCACTATAGAGGTTATCCTTTTCTGTAAGTTTGTCTTTTAGCATTGTAATCTATAGAGGTCAAGTGATCTCAAATTTAATTAGAATTTAAATCATTTACAGAGAACAAAATTTGTTGAATTAATAGTCGTGGTTTTCTTTTGATACAAGTATAAGAGGAAATTTAGCAGAAAATCATGACTCCGACTGTGAGAAAATCAGAATCTAAATCATTTAGAAGTTGCTTAATCTAACATGTGTTTTGACTTCAGCTGCAGGAAGGATTAAATTGAAACTGGTTTTACTTGCAGGTAACTCTTCCAAATTTCAGTACCATTTCTTTTGTTTTTTAATTTATAAACATTGTTGTCTTTTTTCATCGCAGGTGTTTCAGCTGCAGCGGGAGTCCTCATCTCCACAATCTTGTTCACTTTCAGGAGGAGGAAGTACTTGCTGAATTTGAAGGGAAAAACTCAAAACCATAAGGACATTGAACTCTTCCTGAAGAACAATGAGAAGCTTACACCAAGAAGATACAACTATTCTGTTCTTAAGAAAATGACTAACTCATTCAGTGACAACTTAGGGAAAGGCGGCTTTGCTAGTGTGTATAGAGGAAAGTTACCTGATGGCCATCTTGTAGCAGTAAAGATTTTAAAAGAATCGAAAGGCAATGGAGAAGAATTTATCAATGAGGTAGCAAGTATCGGTAAAACTTCCCACGTTAACGTTGTCGCTCTCCTGGGATTTTATTTTGAGGCTTCCAAAAGAGCTCTCATTTACGAGTTCATGCCCAATGGATCTCTTGAGAAGTTCATGTGCAACAACACCTCCATATCAAGATGTCAATTAGGATGGGAAAAATTGTTTCAAATTGCTGTTGCTAATGCTAAGGGAATAGAATACTTGCACCAAGGATTTAATACACGGATTTTGCACTTCGACATAAAGCCTCATAACATTCTTCTGGATGAAGAATTGAACCCTAAGATATCGGATTTCGGCTTGGCTAAACTTTGCCCCAATAGGTCTAGTAGAGTTTCGATGTTAGGGGCTAGAGGAACAATAGGATATATTGCTCCAGAAATAGCTTATAGAAACGTTGGCGACATTTCTTACAAGTTGGATGTCTATAGCTATGGTATGATGCTTTTGGAAATGGTTGGAGAGACGAAAAATACTGACGTCAGAGTTGATCATTCAAGTGAAAAATATTTTCCTGATTGGATCTATGAGCACCTCGAACAGAACTTTGAGCTTGATTTTAACCGAGTTGAAAACGAAGATGAAGTTTCGAAAAGGAAAATGGTAATAGTTGGCCTGTGGTGCATACAAACTGATCCTAAAACTAGACCATCAATGAGCAAGGTTATAAAAATGTTAGAAGGGAGTATGGAATCTCTTCAAATCCCACCAAAACCCTACTTTTTACAGCCAAGAGCAGCAGAAAACTTTTCAACTAGTGAGTCGCTAGTCACTCTCTCCTAGGTTCATGAAGTTTAGCTTCTTGGAATCCCACGGTGTTTGGTGGCTCCTATTTACTGCACAATATAGGCAGTTATCTATGTTGTTTTGCTATTGTAATTTTTAAGTTGTTAACACATCTCCTGTCTCAATGTTTATTAAATTTCTTCTTGGAGATCAAGCTTGGCAATTCATGAGCATAATGTTTATTTCTATGTCATATTGAGCTTGATTGCAGATATCATTCCAATTCCCAGGTACTCCATGACTTCCACCCATGGAAGATCTTGTAGGTTTCTGGCTTTGAGAATGAGGCTGCGCATAGTAGCCATCATGGGTGCAACATCTGATACTCTGTCCACTCGTGAAAGAGTCGAAACTTTTCTCTAAAAATTCAGCTTTTAGAATTTTCTCCACGTTTTATGTAAAAACTAAAATGATTATACTTTTGAACAGGTGAAAAGTACATTTCTCGTGCAGCCAAAATCTGATAACTTTTCCCTTTTATATCAGTTATAAGTCTCCACTTTAATGTAACAAAATATAGAACTTCCTCCTCCAAGAAGTTTCTTTTTGCCCTGTTCTTCATTTTATTGCTGATTTTGATTTGTTTCTGGTGGTCTTAGTACAGATTTTTCTGTGTTCTTTCATAGAAAAGTTATCGACTTGACAGTCTGGCAAGAGGTACAAGTAATCCTTCAGAATGACAGGAATAATGTAGGAATCATGCACCGCCAGTTGCAGCTTGGGTGTTTTTCGAGCTTTCCAAGTTCTAACCCTTGAACTGAATAAGGGAGAACCTGTCCGCCTTACACAAATGTGCAAATGTCCAATTGACATTTGCCTCAACTTCATGTGTCACATTTTAGCCATCGTTTCAAGGGTTGTGATGGGGAAGGCCCCATTTTTAATAGCATTTATGTCTGCATGTAATTCCATTTAGGATTGATTATGTCAAGATAGTCCAAAGGATCTCTTTTAAGATCATGCCCCGTTCGAGTCTCTTTCTCTAAAAATTTATTATTTTTTTAAACTCATTTTCAATCACATATTCTTCCAATAAAATAATTCAAAACATTTTCCTACTTTTTCATCACACATTCTAAAGAAAAACACTATTATAAAATTCATTTTTTCCAAAATGCACAAACTAACATCCTCAAATCTAGATACCCAAATTGAGAAGTATTATTATTTAATTCTCTTAAGATCATAAATGCGAAAAACGATTAGATATTTCTTTAACATAATAAATATCAATGACTTTGAAGATATTTTGTACACCGTTTGGTACTAATTTAAATCATATTTATCTAAATCAAAGTCAAACAATCAATTTTAACCACATATTTCATGGGTCCCACAACTTTTCAACCATAAATTTCAAAAAAGTTTATCAAAATCTACTAAAATCTAATTTTAATACCTACCAAATAGGGGCCTAATAAAAATATAAGACAATTAAATTAAATATTAACTTTATTTTCAAAATGAATTCAATATTTAAATGTGATAGTACTAAGTTCGTTGCACCACAAGTACTCGTCTCGGATCATTTTCTTGCCTTCATTATCTGAAAAATGGGAAGAGATAACACGGAATGAGCTAACACTCAATAAACAAATCTTGTACATATGATGCATGTTTATGATATGCATATGCTTAATTTTAAAATAAATAACTTTTTTTTCAACATGTGCCCCCTTTCTTTAATTTTATTTTTTCATTTTTTAATAATGATAATGTGAGCTTACTTTAGTGTATCGGTTAACCCATCAGAATACAATGGACAATTATTATTTGGAACTCGATTCATTCTACCGACAGTATTGCAAAGTGGTTAACATTAACATTAAACATTTAACATTGGTTAGATGCATCAATCCCCTACGTCCTATTTTCCACTCACACCTTTAATGAAATAGACGTACACTTCTTAGCAAAAACATCCGGGATACATATTTTTTTATAATATTTATTGACTCATTGATATTTGAAAACTTTTTATTTCTTAAAACTTTAAGTGTGCTTATAGATGCATTGACATACATGAATATGTCATGAGAAGCACTAATGACATAAAACATAATAATCAAATATCATATTCACATAATAGGAACTTTAGGTAACACATTTGTACATTTAACAATGTAACATATGCATGAAGACAAAGGAAGGTTTACTTACTTGAAATTGATTGAAATTTAAATTTGAATGGCAAGTAAGGATGCTCCCGCTTACGAAGTTAATGTATCAAAAATACTAGCTCATTATCATCTATTTGTAAACTTCAACAATATGATTAGACATCACTCCAGTCTAGACCATTGTTCTAATAATTTAAATTTACTTGTTATTGTTTTCATTAAATTCCAAGTCTTAAAGAAAACTGTAGAGAATTATAAGAACTAAAAGGGAACCTACTATTGAAACAAAACAGTTTTGTCCCATATGGGTCATGTTTGGTTAAATTTCTAACGATGAAATAGTTTCTTTCTCTACTTAAATTAATGCTTTTATAACACTAGAATAGAGAGACAAGAAGAAAAGTGAAAACTGTTACTGATCATATATAGCGGTCCAATGAGGTCCACATGGAAGCCCCATATTCATACGCATGGCATTGGGTCGAGTAAAAGAAGAGTTATGGACGAGATCAATAGGCGAGGTTGTTGCATTGAATGTTGAGCTCATTTTACTAGAATTCTCCAAAGTGGTTCTAGCCTTTGATCGCGCGAAGTGGGATTACTTATTTCTGCCGAACCCCATAGCTTCTGAAGTCCTTGACACTCGGAAAAGGGTTTGATAAGCGTATCTTAGGGATTGATTGATGTGACGTTCTCATTAAATAAGTGTCAAGAATGTTAGCCTAGGGATATAGAGTGGTTGGCCCCTTGTTCTGTTAATGTAATTAATGTGAGGTAGAGTTAATGTGATGTCAGGGTCTAATAGATTAATGTGATGCCAGGGTCTAATAGATCAGGCCACGTGGATCGGATCTAACGATAACCACATCGGCCTGATCACTATAAATAGCTAATTCTTGTATCATTTTGAACATAAAAAGAAAACATTATATATTTCTCCATATAAAAAGAAAACATTATATATTTCTCCATATAAAATTATCCATTGCTTCCACCTTCTTCTTCCACAAATATACACATTTACAATCAACATTACAAAATAAGTCCACGTGTATATTGTCTTTGAACGACATTTTTTGATCATTTTTGGAGGTCAACAAAGACTATAAGTTGAAGGACTTCATTCAATTTAGACTATGTAGATAGAAAAAAGGAAAAAAAAGTGATGGCAATAGACAATATATACGTGCAAAATCGATTATGTTAGCAACATTCAATACAAAGCCAAAATATGAAATATGCAGGGCTTAGAAAATAAAATAAACTGTAGATCATATATTATTCTAGAAACTAAAATAGTTACCAAAAATAAAACGAAGAAACTAGGTTCTTAATCTCAAAAGCCAAATTAAAACTTAGCTAGTGCACATCTATTTTTTTTTTTTTTTCAAACTCTAAAAATACTGTCCGGTTCAACCCATTTTTCACACTAGTTATCTACAATCTATATCCTACATTTTATAGTTTAAATTACTCATTCTCAATTCAATTCCTTATTTCGTTATTCAATTATCAATCTATTCAATTCATCTATTATATTTCTCATTCCTTATATTTTCTCACTTTATCTCAATTTTATAATTCATCTATTGTATTATATACTTTTATTTCATATTTATACATTTCAATTTCATTTTACACAAATGGAACCCAATATTTATGTTGAGTGTTTGTTTAGTGATAACTCACCATTGACACCACAATTTCAATTCCATAATGATTTAGACATCAGCGATGTACATGAGGAATAGACATCCAATTGATATAGATGGTATTGATGAAAAAGCGGAACTCGAAATAATTGATGCAAGAGGGAATCGAAAATTTAAACAAACTGAAAAGTATTGGGAACACTTCAATTTGGTTTCAACGGGTCATACAGTCTGCGGAGTCCAAGAATCTAAAGCAACTTGTAAATATTGTCAAATATAATTGACATAGCAAAAGGGAATCGAAACTACTCACCTTAACCGTTACTACAAGAAATGTTCAACCAAACATGGACTTATTGGCCATACACAAACACAACTTCAATTTGGTACTCCCTTGATAATTGTATTTTATACACTTATTCGGTACCTTAAATAGAAATATTTGATGGTTCTTTTGACAAATTATATCCTTTGTATTTTATGTTTAATAGGTAAAATTTTATGAAGGAAAGAAGCAAAAGCATGCAAAATTGGAGAAAAGAATTAAATCGCATGAAATCCAAAGTTCGGGGGCTAAAGTGCAAATATTCAAAAGTTGTGTTGAAGCTCAAGATGAAGATCCGAGAGTGTTAAGAGTTAATTGGATGAAGAAAGATATCAAAGGGGTCAAATTTAAGCAAAATATGATCACAAATCAATTTCCAACCGAAAAGCTATGCTCTAGAATTTTAGGCTCACATTAAGACCCATTTTTGACATGGAAAGCGATTCAATCGAGAATGATGTCTCAAGCAAAATTGTAGCACTTTGAGTTATCTTTCCAAAACATCTTGAATCACCTCAATTAAATAACAAGAGAGAAAGTTATGCTAAAAATACTGAAAGAAGTACGTGTTATCTATTCGAAAAGTGGCACTGGAGATTCAGAGAGGTGGCGCCATTTTTGGTGTGAAGCTGTGATGCTGCATTTCAAGCGTCACGACACCGCATCCCAGATGCGTTAGGGCACAATTTTGGCCCCTTTTTGAGTCCATATGAAAACCCTATTCTTCCAACACGGCAAGGGACCTATAAATATTAAATTCCTCACACTTTAAGGGGGTTCTACAGATTCTAGAGGCAAAAACACTTCTTAAGAGAAATGGGGAGAGATTCAAAGGGAGAAGACAACTCCAAATTCATCGTGTGAAGCATAAATTGGAAGGAGAAATTCTTGGTACAAGAT